CCATGACGTCGTGCGAACGGCACAACATGGACTGCCAAGATGTTGTCCCGGTAGTACTGGCCTGTAACACGCCCTGCAACAACATGTAAAGCCGTTCTTCCAGCAACAGTGATGCCTCCCCACACCATAACAGAACCACCCCCAAATCGATCATGTCTGATGACGTTAACGTCTTGGAAGCGCTCGTTTCGACGACGCCACACCCTCCTACGTCTGTCCAAAAAATCAACAGTGAACCTTGACTCATCTGAAAACATCACGTTGCTCCAGCGTCGATTATCCCAGTGTTGACGATCCCAACACCAACGACGTCTTGCCTGAATGTGATGATCTCTCAAACAAGGGATCACGCGAGGACGTCGGGCGCGAAGGTGACCCCTATGCAGTCGATTCCGAATCGTCTGGCCACTCACTCTCACACCAGTGTCTGTTTGAAGACGAGCGCTGATCTGATTTGCTGTGATGACACGATTTCTCAAGGCCAAGGTACGGATAAATCGATCCTGGGCTTGAGTTGTCGCCCTTGGTCGACCTGAGCGTGGTCTGTCCTGTACAGATTGTGTATCACGGTATGTGGACCATAGCCTGCTTATGACAGACTGAGAAACATTCATCGTCCGCGCCACAACCGCCTGTGTTGTGCCGATCTGTAGCATGCCAAGGGCACGTAACCTTTCATTTTGGGTAAGCCGACGCATATCAAAATTTGTTTTCTGGTCACTAAAACAATTAAACTGATGTTTCCACCCTGGAATTCAATGCCACAGTGACTGTAACATTCAAAGTCAGAGTCGTGCAAATCTTGGGTTGGACCCCCATGATGATCCCAAGCATCACCTGCATTCCATGCGGTAGCTATTGGTGCGTTTGGGCGTCACATGTAACTGGAAATGTTTCTTCTGTTAGGTTCTATAGTGACTTTTTTCGTAGTCATTTGCATATTTTAGTATTATGCCCCCAAAATCAAATATCCCCTACTTTTTTTGAATAGTATATAAAAAAATAAATGTTAACGTATTGTAAAATGATAAATCAAAGTAAAAATTCCCGTAAAATATCACGTGTCTAGTCAATCGAGGTGCGCCCGATTGAACAAAAAAAGCAATACACGATAAAAAGCAGACGAAATTGTTTTCTAACGAAGATTTCTAACGTATAAAAAATAACAATTAAAATGATTGGGGCTTCGGAAGTCACTGTTAAGAATTGGCTTCAGACATAAGACCTAACTAAATGTCTACATCACATTCACAAACTGTCACAAGTACTTGTGGCAGTCCTAAAAAAATCTAAGATTAGTAAGAATGGAATCTAAGATTAGTAAGAATGGAATCTAATCATATTTGTTATGAACTAAAGTAATATCTTGTTATTTAGGTGTTTTATGTTGAAACTGAAAACTGCTAATCAATTTTTAAATTTGCTAATCAAATTTGGCAAAATTGGACTTTTTGATTAGCAGTGCTGCTAATCAACCGTGAAAAATTACCGACAGCCCTGCTTGTCAGGTGAAACTTCCAAACAGTCTGTCATTTTGTCTGAGGAAAAATTTATTGGTAGATTATCGCCCTTTTCGGAAAATGAAAGTACGGTAAACTGCTACCTTTCGTGAATTTCTAACTTTACTTTCTATTGTAGCTCCATATTCTATAGCTTGTAGGCTATGTCACAACCAACAATCGGCAAATGCACTTAAAAGTCTATTGATCCATAATATTACTTTTTTTTATCTGAACATGTCACAGTCTAGCCATTCAACCACACAGGCTTGCTTCTATGGCTATGGCCGTAGTCTGGGCCCAGACATAAAGATAATGTTGGCGAGTGAGAGTAGCTCTATAATTTAAAATCTATTGTAACACCCAACGGATACAGGGACAAAGTCATAATCAGGATAAAACTACGGGAAGGCAAATATTGACAGGGTCATGCCAGTTGGCCAACAATGTATCGAAAACGGGCGTAATAAATTTATCGTAGGTGCTGAATACTAAAATTTACCGATTTTTGTCACATATATTCAAGGGAATCTTACGAGATAAAACATACATTGTTGTAGAATTTTAACGATGTCACGCTTCAGAAATTTGATATTTTCTCAATAAATCCAATGCTGATACGCACCGAGCAGTCGTCAGTCGAATGGTGTAATTCGGTTGTATGTATTTCAGCATAGAACCTTTTATTAAATAATAATTTTAATGAAACGTATATTCCTGCATATTTACAAAATAGGCTTCCTGTTTAAAATTTCTTACAAGTTTGTAAACTACAGTAAAATAATTATCCATACCCCAAAAGTTCCATATTATATTATTATTCCGATGTAGTATTTACGACGTAGTAATCTCTGCATGTTTTCACGGTAACTTGTACATAGATTGCGTAGCCACTAAAAGGATTTAATATTTTAAGATTTGCTAGGTCAAAATAAAATGGGTAAACAATAAAGTGGGGGACCCCTCGGGACTACATCTTATCGTAAGAAAGCCAATGAATTCAAATGGATTCATACTTTCAGAACATTCGCACCGGATGGCATTAACGATAAGATGTAGTCCCGAGGGGTCCTCCACTTTATTGTTTACTCTATTTCCCCACTGACCCCTTTGCACTACGTTCTTAAAATTCTGTTAGCTATTTCTCTCATGTGCATCCCCATTTTTGGAACTCTTATCATCGACTCCGCTCAAAATACCTGGCACATTGCCATCAATTAGCCTTAGAGGTATCCTGTGACGTCACAATAGGGACGTTCACTAATATTCCTACTTTGGAAAATGAAGCACATCTGTGGAAATTTGCGGACAATGTCTCCGAAACAACAGAGGTAAATATGGCAGATCGCCTTGTCCTGTACCTTTTCCAACCATGATTAACTGGGAGGCTTTTTGTGAAGGAGTTGATCTTTGTCTCGAACTGGAGGCCTGGTCAGTTTGTCGCACATCGAATCGCGATGATTTGGCAGAATCAAACATCAGTAAAGAAGACTGGGTATTTTTACAACGTTTCAATCGAGAAACGCAAAAACAACCTCGTGAGCTCCTTGTTGAATTCAAGAAATATTTTCCTAGAGCCACTTTTCAAAGTATGCGAAATAGTAGCATAATTCTTAGCCTAACTCAAGGCCGAATATGAAAAACAAGGACGAGTTCCCAATTAATTTAGCCGTGGTACCCCTACAGTGAAAGCTAATAAAAAAAATTAGTGCATACATGCCCATAACCTAATAGAGTTATCTTTAAGCCCTCGTTAGTTTAGGAAACTTTAAACTTATGGATCAAAAGGGTTAGGAGCCTTGAGTCAATGCAAATAAGTATAATCATGACGGTAAATTCTTAGCCGAATATCTTTGCACACTTTTCTGTGACATCACATGTGCTCCGGTGCCCACCGACACTATATATAGAGGGCCACCGCACATCCTCATTTAAGCCTGAAGAGTTCGAATAAGAACGAAACTAGTAGCTGAGAGAAATCTGGGAAGGCTGTTCGCCTATTTACAGATTTTTTACTACAAAATAAAATGGGAGATTGGTCAAGATTTGTATCGTTTTCGACATTTATTAACTGATAATCTAAATAATACTTAATCAATTAATAATACAACAAACAAATAAGTTCCAAAAAGAAAAGGCAGGAAATTGTTGCGTGATTAGGCCAATATTGTTAAAGACGGGAAACTATATTATCGGGTGGTGGGTGCCGATAAAATTTGGGATTTATATTGTAATGAACAATAACTCAAAGTCTCGATCATACTTTATTTAATCATACAACAAATAGTTAAGTTCTCAATGGGTGGTGTGTATTTTAAATCTGCAGGAAGTGTGACCCAATTGTTTCATTCCTTAAACATCATGCTCGTGTTTGATTCCTGAGATAAAAAAGCACCCTGCATTTCCCAGCCCACATGTATCTACCCCAAGTATCATGACATTTGAGACATTTTAATGGGTGACATTTCTATATCCATGACAAATCAAAACCAATTTCGTCCAACAAACGAAAACTATGCAAAACTGCCCTGGCTCAAGTCACGTGGATCGCAAAAGATATTAGTCTAAAACTCAAGGTACGATCAAGGTCACCTATATAGTCTGGAGGCTCAGTGCGGAGGGGTGTCCATCAAATGGGCACAAAACCAGACCCAACTTTTCTAGAGTAAAATTTTGCGTAGAATACGATGCCGAGTGGTAATCAGTCCGCCGTTGGGGCATATTCGAGTTATTCAGGGTCAAAGGTCAAATGAGGTCATTTGCACTGAAAGTGAATGCGCAGCCGTTCTTGTATCACGAAAACATGCTGAAAATGATCAAAAGTAACCAGTCTTTCAATAAAAATGTTAAATTCACCTTTGTTCTTTGTGACCTCGGAGGCCAAAAGGTCAAATTGTCTGTTTTTGCACTAGTAAGATTTAAAGCAATAAAATATCAGCGCCAAATATAAAAACTAAAGCGAAACCTGTTCAAATTAAGGAACATTTAAAACTTATTTTTAGGTGGTCTTAACCCTGTACATTTACTTTAGAACGTCGAAAAAGATCTTGCATAACAAAACCAAAACACTTCGAAACCTGTTCTAAAAGTACCTAAATACAAATACAGTGCAAATGACCTCCTTTGACCTTTGACTCCGAATATCTCGAAAACGCCCCAACGGTGGACTGATTACCACTCGGCATCATATTCTACGCAAAATTTTACTCTAGAAAAGTTGGGTCTGGTTTCGTGCCCATTTGATGGACACGCCACCCCTCCACCTCGCACTGAGCCTCCTGTCTAATAGATTACCCCAGGGTATAGTCGGGTAGCACGGAATGAGACCAATAGCGATATTGAGGATGCAGGTTAGACAGACAAACCTATTCCTTGTTACTTGCAAGACTGGGATCATACCCACAACTTGTATACATAACAAGCCCCAAAAGACAGGCTTATGTATAATAGTTAAAAATTCTTACATACTATTATCCTAATTAACATATTTTTACTTCTTAGATTGTTGTAAATTTACAGATGATTGGTGGATTCCTGTTTGGTGATATACTTATAAAATTACTAATTTACCTAACTCAAGGTATTCATCATTTACAATTTTTATGCGCCCACATTTCTATGTGGTCATGTCATATATTGTCGTTGCCACTATTCGTCCGGACATCTGTGCATCCACAATTTGTTTGTTGACACTCTATAGGTCACTGTTTTGATCTGATTTTGGAGAAACGTGAAATATAGGTTTTATCTCCCAAAGATCTTGGTTCCTTTCGAAACTGCGTGACAAAATGGCCATTCCTTGTACGCAAATAGTGTAACAGTATATGATACGAAGGTTGTGGACCCTCTAGATGTCACAATTTTTATCCAATTTTGATGAAAATTAAAAAATATTTATGCATATTGGACCGTAACTTCCTGGATTACGGCCCCAGATTGTACAAAAAATCACTAGGGTTTTTTTTAGCTCGTTCTGTCCTTCTTTTGCAAAATGTGGATGTATTTTGCATGGAAACCGCTGGTTAATCTTTTCAATTCTAAGCCAACCTTTGATAGGATTTGCAAGGATTGATTCAGTTTCTGGGGTGAATGCATTTTCATACGACCACATGGAAATGTGGACGTATATTGCCGTCCAGCGTCCACAATTTCTTGTGAATGCTCTAATGCCAAAAGTTATCATTCAATTATTTTAAAATTGATATATTTTGTTTACATTAGTAAGATGAAGAAGCCTATTAAATTTCAGTAATTTCCGTTAATTGCTTCTGGAGTTATGTTCCTTGTTTTACTTTGTTGCACCTTGTGAAATCTCTAACATAAAAAGTTATCTGCCGATCTGTATGAAATTAATATGCGTCATTTAAATTAGTCAAAAGAAGAATCCTATTGAATTTCAGCAATTTCTGTTAATTACATCTAGAGTTATGGCCCTTGTTTCACTTTGCTGAACCTTGTGAACGCTCTAATGCCAAAAGTTATCATCTGATATATTTTGTTTACATTAGTAAGATGAAGAAGCCTATTAAATTTCAGTAATTTCCGTTAATTGCTTCTGGAGTTATGTTCCTTGTTTTACTTTGTTGCACCTTGTGAAATCTCTAACGTAAAAAGTTATCTGCCGATCTGTATGAAATTAATATGCGTCATTTAAATTAGTCAAAAGAAGAATCCTATTGAATTTCAGTTAATTACATCTAGAGTTATGGCCCTTGTTTCACTTTGCTGAACCTTGTGAACGCTCTAATGCCAAAAGTTATCATCTGATCTGTATGAAATTTAGATTAGTGAAACGTCAAAGCCTATTGAATTTCAGCAATTTCCGTAAATTAAGTCTACAGTTATGCCCTTGTTTCACATTGTTCAACCTTGTCAATGCTCATCGAAAAAAGTTATCATTCGATCTGTATGAAATTTACATGCATAATTTAGATCAGTGATCAAAGAAGTCTATTTAATTTCAGCAATTTCTGTCAATTACTTCTAGATTTATGACTCTTGTTTTACTTTGGGATCCTTGTGAACGTTAATTTCAGCAATTTCTGTCAATTACTTCTAGATTTATGACTCTTGTTTTACTTTGGGATCCTTGTAAACGTTCGAATGACAAAAGGTATCATCCGATCTGTATGAAATTCATATGCATTATTTAAATTAGTAAAACGAAAAAGCCTGTCAAATTTCAACATTTTCTGTAAATTACTTCCAGAGTTAAGGCACTTGTTTCAGTTTGTAGAACCTAGTGAATCCTCAAACGACGAAAATTATAATTTGATCTCTATGAAATTATCTTGTAAATACCCCCAATTACCTACAAAGAATAAATATGCGACAACCTTTGTCGACCGCTCAGATGATTTAGCTGCCGTGGGCGTATGTTTCGTTACCTGGCAACCTATCTTTATACACCCACATGTTAATATGCCCCTTTTTTGCCAAAACCTGTCCACACTGCTTGTAATGCTTATTGGTGTGATAAAAGCCAGAGTTTTTAATTTATGCCACACATTTTAATGGGGACATATATTGTAATTAATGGATCTTTTCCATATTTGGCTTGAAGCATTTGGAATGTGATCCCTTTCGATATTCATAATCTATTTCTGAGTTATTCCCCCTTTGCTATAGGTTTTAAAAGATTTTTTTTCAAATTTGGTTGGAAGTGATGGGGTCATAAGAGATTAGATTTCTTCGAGAATCCTAGATTCTTATCAAATTTACTCAACATACAAGTTTTATTTTGAATATGCTGCAGTTGAGACAAAGCTGCTGTGTTGGCATATTCCATGCTTTGCTATCTAATTGAAGGTCATAGGGTTGCTCAATCTCTCTACATGCAGTGTCGGCGTCTGGAGGGGGCATTTGTCCCCACCCCCCCATTAATCTGGTCTGCCCTCAGTTTGATCCCCCAATAATTTTAGAAAATAAAAAAAAGTATTTGTGATACGTTTCGGTAATCAATACCTTCTACGGTGAATAAATCCCACATCCCCACTCAGTCATAAACTTGCATGTTGTAGAGCATTTCCGACAGTCTATTTTTCAAAATTTTCTTGGCGAGGTCTCCAATGGACTCGCTACTTTGGCGCTCATAAGGGGAATTCGTTGAGGTTCACAAGTCTGTTCGTTTGACATTTTGTTCTCTAATCGGATAAACTAGTGATCAGGCGACAAACGGTATCTGGGCAGATCTATTTATCTCGATGATCGTTGCCTGACAGAATACTGTCAGACAGCATTTCCGGCAGTAGGACTCCCTACTTTAACGCTCGTGAGTGGGCTTTGTCGTGATTGGCAAGTCCGTTCGTTTGACACTTTACCTCATCGATCAGTGCCTGAAATACTGCTAGGCTGCATTTCCGGCAACCTGTTTTTCAAAATTTTCTTGGGGAGGATCCCTACCCCGAGTTGAAGCTCGTGCCTTTGCCCCCTTAACCTTGGACTTTGTCCAAGCTTTGCCCCTCCAATCACCGACGGCTGGCGCCGCCACTCTACATTAATGCTTAACGATGAACTTACTTTTATATACCTACATTGAAATGCACTTGTACTTGTTTATTGTTCAAAGATGAGCATTTTCTGCTTAGGGTAAGCAGCGATAAGCAATTTGATTTGTTGATGCTCTGGGACACGATAACTAGTTTCATTATATCAATACCTTGACAAAGTTCGATAATGAGCATTTTCTGCTTAGGGTAAGCAGAGATAAGCAATTTGATTGGTTGATGCTTTGGAACACGATAACTTTAGTTCTTTTTAAGTGAGAGTGATGAAACTTGGTTTATGGTTTCATTACATCAATACCTTGACTAATTTCGATAATGAGCATTTTCTGCTTAGGGTAAGCAGAGCGACAAGCAATTTGATTGGTCGAGACTTTCGAGCTCGACAACTTTGATTCTAATTGAGTGATAGTGGTGAAACTTCGGGTATAGTTTCATAGTTTCATTACATCACTACCTTCACAAAGTTTGATGCTGAGCATTTTAAGCTTAGGCAAAGTAGAGACATCAATCTGATTGGTCAAGACTTTGGAACACTATAGCTCACCTTCAAATTGAGGTAGAATGTTAAACATTGGTGTGGTGTCTATTAGGTGAATGCCTTGACAGAGTTCAATCATGCACATTTTCCACTAAGGCTAAGTAGAGATAAGCAATTTGATTAGTTGAGACTATGGAACACAATAACTTTGGTTCTAATTGGGTGAGACTGAGAGCGATGAAACTCGGAGTACAGATTCATTATTTCAATACATTGACTAAGTTCGATGATGAGAATTTTCTGCTTTTAATTGAGGTATAGATGTTAATTAGATGAATTTCTTGACGGAGTTCAATGATTAATATTTCCCTCTAAAGCTAAGCAGAGCTAAGCAATTTCATTGGTCGATAACTTTGCTTCTAACTGATGGAGAGTAATGAAACTTAGTGTATAGTTTCACTACCCGGTACTTCAAAACCTTGACTGAGTTTGATTGTGAACATTTTATACTTAGACTAAGCATAGATAATCAGTTTGATTACTCGATGCTTTTAAAAAAGATAAATTTTATTTTCATGTGGATGTATATTGTCATCGCGTCTGTCCGTCCACATTTTATTGTGGACAGTCTACAGGTCACAATTTTTATCGGATTTTGATGAAACTTGAAATATAGATCTTATATCCCAAAGATCTTGGTTCCTTTCGAAATTGGCATGTTTCAGACTGTAATTTCATGGATGCTCTAGAGGTCACAATTTTCATCTGATTTTGATAAAACTTGAAATTTTTGTTTATAACCCAAAAATCTGTGTTCCTTTCAATATCCATGCATAGCAGAACATAACTTCCTGGATTATGGCCCCCAATGTCTTTTAGCTTGTGAAACCTCTAGAGGTCATAATTTTTATCCGATTTAAAAAAACTTAAAAAATATCCCAGTTACACCCCAATGATGGATGAGTTTGAATTTCGTGAAAATCGGATCAAAGCTGCCTGACAAAATGGCTGCTCCTTGTATGGAAATATTGTTAAAATGTGTAATACAAAGATTGTAGACCCTATCAAATATATGTTAATATCCAAAAGATCTTAGTTTCATTCCATATTCGTGCATATTGGACTCTTAACATCCTGAATTATGGCCCATGATTGTACAAAAAATCACATTTTTTTTTTAGCTTGTTCCCAGTCCATCTCTTGCAAAATGTGGGCGTATCTTTTTATACGCCCACACTGAAATGTGGTTGTGTATCGTCGTCACCCCTGGCCCTTGATCACTCGAAAACATCTTGTGGATGCTCTGGAGGCCAAAGTTAATATCCGATTGACTTTAAATTTATACACAGTGTTTAAGATCATGAGACGAAGAACCCTATTGATTTTCAACGATATCCGATAATTTTTGCCAGAGTAATGGCCCTTGATCACTTTGAAAAATCTTGTGGACGCTCTAGAGGCTAAAATTAATATCCAATTGACTTTAAATTTATACACAGTGTTTAAAGTCATGAGACGAAGAAGCCTATTGATTTTTACTGCCAGAGTTATGGCCCTTGATCACTTTGAAATATCTAGTGGACGCTCTATTGATCT